GCTTTTGAAAAGTTTTTGTGTAGAATTAAGTAGAGGAAGCAAGGGCTAAATCTCATGGTAATGTTGCACCTGAAATCTTGGCAGGATCCTTGGTTACCATGGTAACATGACCATTGCTGACCTCCACACACTAGCTTCTTTATGAACTCTATCCCCATTCTGTCAACTTGCGCTGGTAACATCTACATATAAATGATACATTAGCATCACGGGAGGGTCTTTTGGCTCAAGCAGAACCGCTGTGAGAATTGTGTATAAACTCAGTAATCCTCTACAGGTAAGACAAGTGTATACACAAGTACCAAAGGGACGCAACTCCAGGTGACAGTTTCCAACTTCTTCAGAACTTTCCCAGCCTAATAAGCTCCTTTGAGAGTTGGTGCTGAATCCTAATAACAAGCATCTGTCTTGCACTCAAAGTCACCTTGTGAATCGTTACAAAGTTTTCTTGCCTATTTCTGCACTTAGTAGATATATTTCTCAACTTTGCCACATCTGACAAGGGAAAATGATTTAAAATGTTACTTACCCAGGAAATTTTCTGTTTGATATATTATGGATAGTGCAGCCAATTGTATCCTAAGGGTTCGTAACAATAAAGATACATGTAGAGGACCATTTGTCATCATAAGTCATGCCTCCAGCCTGGAATGATGGATCATCAATTTCCAACCAATTGCTGATTCCATTTTTTTTCTTACCAGGTGTTCAAAAGTTTTCCACACAATGGCCCCCCAAAAAAAGAAGTTGAACCAGCAACTGTATTTAAATGCTAATCAGAATTGGGCTTTGCATTTTGATGTACAATTATTAAGGAATAAAGAAAATTCATGATGAGTTTGATGAGTACTCTTTAAAGCCAGTTTCCCTTTGTATGTGAAATGCATGGATCAACCAAAAATGTACAATGTAAAATGTCCTGATAGGGCCTAACACTACATGAAATTCAGTCCATCTTCAATCTCATATTCAACGTCCCCACACATCTCTCAGTAGAATCTGATTTCCTGCCATGATTTGTTTTCTTTGGGTGAGATCACAACCTTTCTCACAGGGCTAAAATCAATTCTAGCTTCACAGACCAGTAAAACATTGCAGGGGCGGGCCTGTCCAAATAGGAGATCTCTCTTATTTGTTCAGCACATGCCACCACGTCCATGGACTTGATACTGTAATTCACTTCTTTATGTTCACGATATCAAAATATCTTGGTCTGATGAGAAAAGTGGACATGTTCGAATTCATGGAACTATGATATATTCACAGTGGCATCAGCTGGTGCAGGAAAAAAAAAGTCCAGGAATTATTTGTTAACTGTACAGAAGTGACAGTGAAAACAGTGAAGATAAAAGTACTGTGAAAAAATCAGGAATTACAGTACTGAACCCTTACACGTACAGACGGCCCAATCGCCATGTCTTCCACCAGCGACATGAGACTTTTAACGGAGGAGGATGGTGCGTCAACGCAAGATCTGAAATTGAAGCAGGGAAGTGAGTTCTTTATCTTTAATATTTTCTGTTTTCCTTTTTAATATATTTCAGCAGCAGCAAGCTAACAACATGCCTGGAAGCACTACCATCTCAATGAGTGAGAGGAGTGGGTATAGTCGTTGGGCCGGGGATGTGGACAACATAGACATACAAATTGCACCAAAGGAGCCCGGATCACAAGGTGAGAAGATGGATGTGGCTAGATTTTTGGATTGACATTTGGTGTTGCCCGAGGCAGCAGCAATTAATGATAAATTCAGTTGTGGTAAAAAATAAGGGCCGTGAGGTTTTGTATTTGCTAACATTCAAATAAAGTCCAATGTTCCAAAGTACTCTAGCTAAACTAGTTTTAGCCCAAGATTATGGGTTTCACCCTGGTGCAGTGTGTTCTGCCGACGTGCTTAGTAAAATGGCAGAGGTTGTTATGAATGTAGATTGTAACACAAATCTTTCTGCCCTGCCTTTGCAATTGCCTTTCAAGACTTCTACACATTCAAACTTTTGACACTGCACGATTTATATGCCGGCTCAATACGGGGTTTCAGAAGTCTGGTGCCACTGTACTTACAAAGGGATGTTTAACCCCTGGTATAAGAAGGGAGCTTTGCAAGAAAAATTATTTTAATATGTAGCAAAGCCTGGAATACAAGATCAAGGCCACCCAAGGTCAACAACATGTCTTCCCTCCAACTGACATTAAATGATGAAGGACGACTTGTTTCTTTCATCAGTCTTACTGTATGAACATTTTTATCCCTGTTCTCTGGTCACAGGTTCTAACACTAACAGTCCTTCATCAATTCATGCAAAGTGGAAGGCAGCAATTCTTCAGTTCTGATGATGAGAAATAGTATTTCACTCAGAAAGGAGAATCTCTGAACCCGGAGATAAAAAGCTCGGGCAGCCATTAGAGAGAGGGTTCTGTTTTCCATTTGGAAGGTTTAGGGGACTTGTGGACCTGAAGCCACCGAAGGGCAGCTGACTTATTCATAGGGATTTTCTGCTACTTTGATACCCAGACCTTTGATACCCAGTCACAGTGGCAGTAATATGTCACAGCTAAGGCCCAGGAAAAAAAAGTTGTGCTTCCTGGTTCCCGACCGACCCAAGAAAAACTGGCAACCCTAGCATTTTTTGTTTGCGGACCCCTGCAAGGGACATAAGATTTTTCAGCTGATCAACCTTTGCTAGCTCCATGATCTGACACCTGAGTGATGAAATGTTGTACAATTGCTTTTCTAACATCGACATTGAAATTTTTACTTTGTTAAACTGTATTGTATAAGCAAGGAGCTCTTTGGCATAAGTTGGTTCACTACAGATCGCCAAAGTCTATAAAAAAAGGAAACAAGAATAAAGATAATCCCTACCTACCAGTCCAACCCAATTTTTTTGCAGGACTGAAACAGGAAACACAACATTTTTTCCCTAGGCCTAAGGTCTGGCACAGCCAAAATCAAGCTGCTGTTAGATTGCACACCTGTTCTGAGTTCACAGATCAGGGCAAAGGGATCCTTTCAAAAAGAGGTAGAGCTGTATAATACATCAACAAGCAAGGTTGACAAGGGCTTGGCTATTACGCCCAGTCACAAGGTCTATTGATGTATTCACCCTGTGTCAGCTTTTGGAATTTTTTTACTCATGTGAATTATGTCATTTGAATTTCAGACTGAGTTCAAACAACAGTAGAGTCACATAATTCACTACTAACACTGGTAACATATCTGTGTTGGACAGAAATTCAGTACCATGGTCATAACACATCTCTGTGTGTGAGATAGATAGTCAGTACTATTATAGTGATAACACATCTGCAATTCAGTACCACATCTATGTGTGGGATAGCAATTCAGTACCATGGTAAGAACACATTAATCTTAGTGCATGGGGCAGAAAATCAGTTTACCATACTTATAACACATCTGTATAACTTTAAAAAAATGTCAAGCTTTCCAAAGTGACATACATTTTGCGTAGTTGTTCTAGTAGCTGCCATGGACTACTATTTCATGAGAAAATTTTTAAATGAGTACAGATTTAGTTTTCACAAAATTAATATAGAAGCTTCTTGAAATAATGCTTAGAGTTAGAGTAGCAAAAATTCTGAAGTGAAATACATGTATTCTGTATTCAGTCAGCATCCGCACAGTTGGTATTCTGAAGATAAGAGTTCTCTTATCAACTTATATCACATTAAGAACATGCAGTCTTTAATCTCCTATCAAGTCCTTCAGATGGCATTTACCATGTCTTATGTCAAGACATGTTCTTAATGCTTATTGGAAATAGAAAGAATCCATTCTAAGCACTTTGGCTATGCTGTAATATTACATGTAGGTTTACAAAATATATTTGGCTCAATATACATGTATCTGACTTATATGAGTAATCAAAGCTTCTATTTCATGTTTTCTTGCACATCTCTGAGAATCTAGATAAAATCCATCTGGAATTCAGAAAAAGACTCCATGGCACAAAAACTTACATCTTAGTTTGTAGTATATATGTCATGATTTTTAAATGAGTGCAGATGTAGTTGTCACAAATGAAGATACTTCTTGAAATAATTCTTAAGGAGCAAAAATTCTGCTGAAGTCCCCAGTGAAATACATTGTATTCTGTATTCCGTCAGCATCTGCACAGTTGGTATTCTGAAGATATTATATATTCTTAGGGTTCTCTTATCAACTTATATCACATCACAGTCATGCACATCTCTGAGAAAATAGATTAAATCTATCTGGAATTCAGAAAAAGACTCCATAGCACAAAAACTTACATCGTAGTTTGTAGTATATTTGACATGATATCTGACATAACGTTACAGGAGTTACCTCAGAATACCTCTGTTGGAAGAAATAGATAATAAATCAAGAATTACTTCCTTAAGAGTATACAATGTCATGTATCAAGGGACATATTAAGCTTTTAAAATCATGACTGTCCTGAAGGAAGGATAAAATGTTGTCAGGTTGATTGATTTGTTATGGTAGTCCTTGACATGGGATCCATCTTCAAGAAAAAATTCAAATCCTCAATTCATCAATATCATCCATTACCTTTAGTAACGAGTCAATATAACCACCCTCTGATGTTAACATACCAGCTTTATGACATAGTAAGCTTTTAAAGTAGTTTTAAAAATGGACTATCAAACATGTACCATGTCCCAATAATTAAAGTGCTGCATGCTACCAGGCTCTTCAGGTGAGTGATCTTACATATAGGTTAATGAAACAAAATTAGTTTATCTTTTAATGAAATGTCTTGTAGGTTGTCAAACTTGCCAGATACTCAAGAAACTGGATAAACTTTCAGGTAGACTTGTCAGGTAGCGTCCACTACCTTTCGTCAATTGTAGTCAGCATCTGTATTCATCAAAAACTAGAGTGGATGCTGCCTGAAATGTCGGACCATTTCCAAAATCATATCCAGTGACTTGAGTATTCTAACTGGTTTTTGGCATTTCTTGCCTGGATGTCTAACCTTCACCGACTTGTCTTACAGGTTGGTTTTCAGGGAGAAAAGGTCTCGTTCTGAGGATCCTGGTGCTGGGTACGCTGTTCGTGTTCGGACTGATCCTCGGGTACGTGATACGGCGCAGCACCCATGGCGTCCCGGCTAAGGCAGTCGTCGGTCTCCAGCAGGACTACAGACAGGACATCAGTCAGCAGCTCATGCAGACAATGCAGGCAGAAAACATCGAAAATAACCTCAGGTAAAAAAGGAAGGGAATTCATCAGTCTCTTGTGGAATGTAACTATTACATAACTTCAATATGCTTAAGAGTGCTCTGAGTTTAAATGCATGAGAAAAGCATGAATCACCAAGAGGACATAGCCAATAGGTAGAAAGGCAAGGAATTCAGCAGTATTTTATTGAGGCTGTTACATAACTTTATACTATTTTGTAGGAAAAGTTTCTAGGAGAGCTAATCATGACAAAGAGGATATTTGTCATGTATTAAACAAATAGACCTACCATATAAACGTTCACCAAGTTTTTGTAGCAATACATCAACAAAAAGAAAAGCTATACTGTAGATAGTTGGGTTTTATTATATGTTCCGTTGTCTTTTCTGCAGATGGTTAACAAATCAGTCACATGTTGGTGGTTCAGACGAGAGTTACAGACTGGCGCAACAGATCCGACAAAAACTGCAAGACTTCGGCTTCGATGCCACCCAGCTGAAACGTTACAAAGTTCTGCTATCATACCCGGACAGGTGCGCATGGTTTTTGTTTGTCTTACAGCAGTGTTGAGAAGCATTGTTGTAAATAATATAGAGTACATTATAATATATTGTATATGCTATATATATAGGAAGCAGCTAAGTTTTATCTTTTCTGCACGTTTACTGCAAAGCAAGGCATACATGTATAAACTACAATGTACTTTAGGCTAAGAGTTACTGGTAGTGCTTAAATGTATTATATCGATGTCAGACATGTCAGATACCCTCCTGAGAGCTTACTACTACTACTGCTTCTCGCCACTATACACTGTACATGTATGTAGCTGACGTAGGTAGCGCTCTTGTGGCAAGATAACAATCCCAAAAGTGCCCCATGTTGCAATGAGAAGCAGTACTCCAGTCAGAAGCTCTGAGGAAGGTGTCTGATAGACATTGAAATGTAAGCAGGTGATCATGAGATACTACTGGATGTGTAAATCACCCATACTCTGTGAACTAAAGTTGTTATTTTCCCCCCACCTACAGGACCAAACCTAACACTGTGTCCTTTGTGGAGGGGGACAACACCTTGTTTCACACCACAGGACAACAGTACAGCGATCTCTCGCTGTTCCAGCCCTACAATGCTTACAGCCCTAATGGAACAGTGGAGGTAAAATACTAAGTGGTTTTGTCATGTTCTTTCATCTCTCATGGTACAAATGACAGCAGTCAACCTTGTCTCGAAATCCTTCTTTGTGCATCATAACCTGCACATTTGGTGGTAACATTGAAAGTTACCTGCACCAGACAAATTCTTCTTGCAACACTCAGGTAGACATTCATTATATAAAGTCACTACATGGAATGGGGTGTGTTTTCCCCAAACCATTTCGAATTGATATATAACATTATGTGCTTTGTCTACCAACCTTTTGACAGGGTAAAGTAGTATATGCAAACTATGGGAGAATGGAGGACTTCAAGAAGCTTGTCGATAAAGGCATCAACTGCACAGGGCGCATTGTCATCATGAGATATGGGAAGATCTATCGAGGGGATAAGGTAAGTTATTGCTATAATGATTATCTGTCTGATTGTGATGTGTGTGTATGTGTGTGTGTGTGTGGGTGTGTGTGTGTGTGTGTGTGTGTGTGTGTTTGTGTGTGTGTGTGTGTGTGTGTGTGTGTGTGTATGTGTGTGTGTGGTGGTGGTGGTGTGTGTGTGTGTGTGTGTTTGTGTATGTGTGTGTGTGTGTGTGTGTGTATGTGTTGCGTGTGTGACTGTATATGTGTTGCGTGTGTGACTGTGTATGACTGTGCGCATGTGAGTTTGCATGTGCATGTTTGCATAACATTTACATTCCATTATATGTTGTCCTTTATCTTTCATCATTTTCATTCACTGATGAATGATAAAGGATGCTGTCTGACAATCTTGTCTCCCTTGTGGAAGATGTCTTACAGGCAAGTGAGAAACATTACCGGTTGTGTAAGATGAAAATCCTCAGATTTCTTGTTTGTGCCGTACAGGTGGAGCATGCTGCGGCCGCCGGCGCCATCGGTGTGGTTCTGTACTCCGACCCGGCAGACTACGCCATCCATGGCAGTAACGACACCTACAACGTATCCTGGTGGTTACCTCGGGACGGCGTGCAGACAGGAGACATCCGGGCCGGCATGGGAGACCCACTGACCCCCATGTACCCTGCTATAGGTGGGCTAACAGCAGAATGAATGAATGTCAATCTTTATTGCATATTCCTGCCCAAATGGGCTAAATGCACATGTGACCAAATGTGGTCTAGAGGATGTAAGGACTATTGAACACTGAAACTCTACATTCTATTGCAAACTTCCAACTGTCTCTCTCTCTATATATTACAACAATACTATATACTACTTATTATTTATAGTACAATCATGCTCTTTCTACAAAACAAAATGTGCACAACCACTTGTTGACTAAAGTTTTGGGTTCAAATCCCTAGCAGGCCCCCACATTGTGCCTTTATACCTATTTCCTCACTTGACTCAGGTGAAAAGGAGTACCTACCATTGGTTAGGGATGTCCTCTTGGATAGGAAGACGTCATGTGGAGGTCCCATGTTTGAGGAGAGCCACACCTCAAGCATTTAAAATATCCCACCACATCAAACAAAAAGAGTAGGGCATTGTTGTCCAAGAGATACCCTTCATAATGTACATTTCTCAAGTCTCAGAAGGAGTACTTTTGAAAATTTGGCCATGTAGTTTAGTTACATGTACCTGTACATGTCATTTTCTGGATCCTGTTACCAGTCTCTCTTATGTATTGTCTTATAATGCAGATAATGTCACCAGGTTAAATGAGTCAGATGCCAACCTGCCAAAAATACCATCTCAACCAATCAGCTATAAGGATGCTGAACAATTCCTCAAGTAAGTTCCACATAAAACACAACCATTAACCTATATTGAAAATGCACCAGTTTATTGTGGGCTCACAGTTTACCTTTATGTATGAAAAAAGTTGCTCCAAACACTAATAGCTTCTTCTTGTTCCAGCATGTTGGATGGACAGGATGCACCAACAGACTGGATTGGGGGCATCACAAATGTACAGTACAAACTGGACCAGACAGAAAACAATGACAGGTAAGGATGAGTGATGTAGACTACACCGAAACAAACAAAAACCTTTGCTGATGCAAATGAAAAAGACAATCATGATTGTTAAAATTATAATGTGTTGGGATATATTGTTCCTGTGGCAAAGCGTAGAGTGTATCAAAAGCACCACTATGTGACAAAGAAAGGTACTGCAGCTCAGATGACAAAGCTGACTGTTCTCTCTGTCACAGTGAATCATTGTACGTTCATGTAAGTACCCCATGATATGTCCTCATAGATGTCATTCAGTTGACATTCAATATCCTTTTGGTAGGTCAATTCTCAGGCCTAAAGATATCTTCTGCAAAAGTGAAAAAAAAAGTCTTGACGTTTTTCTACTTCTGTGTTTTCAGGAAAATGAAACTGGAGGTGAACAACAAGCGTGTGACAAAGAGCATCTACAACGTCATTGGTACCATCAGAGGAGCAATAGAGCCAGGTGGGCTTAGGTCATCTGCAAAGACGGCATTACTACTCATGAAACACGTCGGTTTTCAAAACTTCTACTTTACAGCATCTGTACATAGTTTCTACAGGTTAGTACATCACTGAATAAAGAGACTCTTTTTACACAATCAAGTTTTTTGTTCAGCCAACGTTTCAGTGAATTTCTGTTACCTTCCTCAGGGCAATTCTGACTGGTTTACATGTATCTGTAGCAGCGACACCTACATGTGCTGTGCAATGTGAACCAGTGACAGATTTGCCCTCAGGAAGGTGACAAACGGTCACCAAAACGTTACATGAATAAAACACTAACTTGGTTGTGTAAAAAGAGTCTCTTTGTTCATTTTACAGAATCATGTATAATTCATGGTGCCATTTGCTGTTTGTTCCAGATCGATATGTGATTGTTGGCAACCACCGCGATGCCTGGACATACGGAGCGATTGACCCGTCTTCTGGCACGGCATGCTTTCTGGAGCTGGCTCGCGCCCTGGGACAGATGGTCCAATCAGGTCAGCAGATATTTCCTCTCATTACATATGCATCCCCATTAATGTACTCCTGATTTGGAGCTGACCACAGTCCTGACCAAGGGAGCTGAAACATTCGAGGGGAAAACTCCTTTAATGCAGCCCATTTGTGTGCTAAGCACAATCCAAAGTTTGCTTAGCACAGCTCCTTTGCTGGTGAACACAGCCCTTTTGCTGAGCACAGCACTTGTACCCTTGGTCCTTTGCAAAAGCAAGGAGGCTATGCTTAAAATAAAAGAGGACTTCTTCGTGTAGTTCAAAATGTATAATTTGAGTGACACTTTTTATTTATGCCAGGCTGGCGTCCCCGGAGGACAATCATCCTGGCCAGCTGGGGAGCTGAAGAGTTTGGCACCATCGGCTCCACGGAGTGGGTGGAGGTAGGGACAATCTTTATTGACGCGACAGAACTACAACTTTTGGAAGGTTATATACATGTACAACAGATTGTTTTTAATTTCAAGATCACGTCTAGCTTTCTATAATGATAGATCAACAAAATTCAGACTGATACAAAATATATGATTAAGACACCAGCTGCATAATAAAAATTCATTCATTGATTCAAGACATTGTGGTCATTTTAGACTTTTTATTTACCAATGCTTTTCTCTTTTCTTGTAGGAGAACATCAATGAGCTGACAGAGAAGGCAGTAGCCTACCTGAACATTGATGCAGCTGTCAACGGTACATCTCTGCACATACACACAGGAAATTGTTACTCAAGCAACTGGATAAATTTGAAATATTACCCTTTTGCTTGAGTAACAATTTCCTTGCGCATCTCATTAAAATCACCTACCATACTGATTTATTATTACTTTTTTGTATACAATGCATTAGCCTAGATTATGGATTGTAGGGTATGTGATTCGTTACTTTATTGTGTTATGTATGTATGTATTTCACAATGTGGGGCCCGACATCAGCTCAGCTGCCAGGGCTTCCACTGTATTGCACTGTATTGTTTGCAATTTAAATAAATAAATAAATAAATAAAATAAATAAAATCACCTCGATGTCTAACCTTCATTGACGTATCTCTGTGCATACAATAATACTACATGTAGTATATGATGCTGGGATGATGAATACATTATACATGTACTGTATTGGCAACTTCTTCCAGCAATACAGAGTTGTATGTTACTTACCTGACATTTGGCAGAGTAACTGGCTGTTTTTTTGATAGTTTATAATAGCCACTACATGCCCTTTATAATTGCTGTGTCCTTTCTTTTAAGGTACATGGTATGAGAGCCACTTTAATTATCCCCTCCCGAAGAATTTGTTTTTCAATGTAAGTCTGGTGAATACAGTCATACATGTCTAATTATAATTTTTTAAATACATTCAATTGATAATTTGTTATGTTATGTTTTACAGGTAACCAGACCCTGTGGGCAGGTGCAAGCCCACATCTGTCCCAGGTCATACAAGAGGCAGCTAAACAGGTCAGGACAGGAAATGTGTTTACAGGGTCACGTCAACAAACCATACTGCGCTTGCACAAAACCTGTAGTCTACTGGTATTGTGCACAGCACTTTGGCAGAACATCTTGTTTAAAGTTGCAAAGTATTACGTGTATTTAAGGATGACATCCCGTCTATAATTTTTTAAATGTTGTGTCGGAAAAGATGTCATCTGCAGTGGGCAAAATTCTGATGCAGTGTCAACCAAACAGCCAACAAAAACCGTGAGGTACGCGGGTTTCTGTGTTTCCTCTGTTGTATAATTACTGGTGAAGAATCTCCACGGTTGAATAGAATAAAAAGTGTTTGTTGCGGTGTCGTGTCCAGGTGCCGTGCCCCCACCATGAGGAGATGAGTGTGTACCAACAGTGGGCCAAAAGTCTGCCGGTAGAGCCAAGAAAATCAGACTCACCTCCCAAGTAGGTTTCAAGTAGGATTCTTGAATGTCACATAACACTTTAAACATTTCATTTTATATCATCTTTAGAGCATATATTTGTGAAGATTATAGAAATGCATGACTTGTCCTACTATAATCTTTACAACAGGAAGAGGATGAAAATAGTACAATTTGGTTCATCAAAAATCACAGCCATCTTTAGATCTAGACTACAGTCCGTTTTACACATCTTTAATTAGGCAGTTGGGCCATTACATTTAGTAATAGTTTAATAGCTAGAATATTGTTTTAGCATGCTTATTATTTCCTCTCAAGACTTCATTGATACTATAGTAGATGGAAAAGAACTAGAAAGACGGGCTTTGAACATAATGCAGCACTAAACAGCTGTTTGGGTTGAAAAACAGGTCCCTCCCATGACCTTACACGACCCTGCCCTAACTGTCTGCTGTCTCATTCAGACTAGATAAACTGGCCGGCACAGGCAGTGACTTTGCAGCCTTTGTGCTGTTTGCTGGGATATCTTCCATAGACCTACAGTACACATACGACCAAGTAAGTTAGAATCTTACTGCTTGAAGAGAACGGGCAACAAAATTTGGTTTTGGAACCTGCCATACTTTGTTGCCCATCTCCTTAAGGAATGAAGTAAGTTGTTAAAGTCCATGTTTCATCTAGCAGCTAAGCTCAGTTACATGTAAGTGACAATCCCTAGCTTTCTGCAAGTCTGGAAAAGGACATGGAGCATACCACAGTTTAAGCAAACATTCTATTTTACTGTCTGAAACATGGACTTTGATACCTTACCATAAATGTTACTGCTATGTTCTGTATCCCTTTGCTTATGTTATTGTTGTTGCTGCTGTATCGTAGAGTGCTATCCTTACATAATGGGGTGAAGAGAAGCGACTGGGATGCTTTTCTCTTGTTGGCCGGAATTTCGTCCCTTGATGTGTCCTACACAAAAGACCCTGTAAGTCCCATGTTACTTGTTGCATCTGGACAATCTCTCGCAAAATCTACTGGTGATAAAATCCTGGGATGGGATGTAAAGGAAAAGGTGTTTAAATGTCCAGATGAGATATGGTACATGTAAGCATGGTGGTGTGGTGTCTTTAGCCCTATATTAGATGTTGTAACTGTGTCTATCATCAAGTTGATGTTCAAGTTTTTATTAAGCAAGGATGAAGTTGATGTTCAAGTTATTATTAGGCATTGAAAGTTGCAGGCCTGAGGTACACAAATTGCATCCTCATTACAAAATATGCAACATTCAGAATACTTGTTGTTGAGCAAAACTGTCATGGGCAGTTTTTACCACTTACGATTTTCTGACATTTATCAGAATTTTTGTTGCAAAGAAACTTCCCTGTAGGATTTTTCATGGTAACACTTAATGGTAATTACAGTGTGAGAAAAGAATTTAAACTGGTAAAAGCCACTTTGTAAACATTTCAATATATGTTAGTTCTCCTCTTGCAAAAATAGTAAGTAAGTTTTCACTTCTTATTTCAGAACTTGAAGGTACCATTTTACCCTGTCTACCACACGCAATACGAGACGTTTGACTACATGAAGAGGTTTATCGACCCTGACTTCTCGGTGCACCTGGGAACAGTGCGAGTCCTGGGGGAGACTGCCCTGCGTCTAGCTGACTCCTTCATACTACCCATGAACTGTAGTCTGTATGCAGACGCTCTGAGCACATACGTGTCAGACTTGGAAAAACGTTACGGCCAGAAAAAGCTAAATGACAACTTATTCCTTGGTAAGATTGATCCACATTTTCTATTTCCTATAAGCAAAATCCCTTCAAAAAAACTTCTGATTGGATATCAACCGAATCAATTTTTGCATGATTATAAATGGGAAGTTTTTGTGAAATATGTAGGGTAAGAAAAGCTCTCAGTCCTTTAGACAAGTGAAGTACTCCTCTGTTTCTCAATTATAGGTTTGGACAACTTTTGTCTTGCGTTTTTGTAGACTTGATTATATCATTAGGCACACAGCTTACTGTAATGTTTTCCCATTGCAGGTTATCTTAAGTATGCTGTGTCCCAGTTTTCTCAAGCTTCTAAAACCATGCAGGAGGTCATAGCTACTGCAGACAGATCCAAGTCAGTATATTAAACACATTCTTTCCATAGTATACATGTATTCATGGTCAGTCTCACCCAACCATTGCTAACTTGTGAGATAGCCCTACATCAAAAGAAAGAGAAAGTTTTGAATGCCCCAAACATGGGCTGATAGCTTTGCTACTTGAAGTCATATTCAAAGGAAAACCTCTACCAGCCAGGCCATTATATAGTATAGATCGTAGAATTCAGTCAGTCCAAGAGGGGGGCAACAGTCCCTGACCAATTATTCTCCCCATTTGGCTAAACTTGACTGTTTTTGAACCTGTGGTGTTAGTCTGGTGGAGACTAGGATGACAGCAAGAAGGGACAATACGATACTTACCAGTTTCAACCTTTTCAGAATCAATACTTGTATGGGTGTCTGGTCATTCCTTGTCCTTTTACGAGGTTATGGTAGCATCCTCTCCCCTGTGCCTGCAGCCCCCTGTTGATCAGGAGCCACAACGACAAACTGATGCAGATGGAGAGACACATGCTGAACCCATCGGGACTCCCAGGCAGGCCCCAGTACAGGTAAGGACCTAGTAAGGAGATTAGGGATGGGTAGACCGAAGACTGTGCAAGGATATAGTCCCATCCTACACTACATGATAGCCTTTTGGGATCTGAATCATTCTGTACCTGTATCCATATAGCCGGTATAACTGCCCCTCTGTGTAACACACCAGCTTTGTAGGCGTGCAGCACAGCAGCAGCTGACTACATTACACCTAACGACCTGTAACACCTAGCCTTTCCACATGTAACCTTATACATTCAGTCAATGCTATCTAGTGATGATGCCCCTACTGTAGTTGATGGCAGCAAGTTCAACTACAGATTCCGTTAGTCACTGACAAAAAAGTAGTGAATGCTACTTGAAATGTCTGACGGTTTTCAAAATCCGTCCGATCTGTCCAATTTCCTTATCTATCTCATTACCTGGATGTCTAACCTTCATCAACGTATCTGTGTGTTGCACTCCAGACATCTGGTGTTTGCCCCAAGCCAACACGACTCTTACACAGGTGCCACCTTCCCTGGCGTGGTGGATGCCATCGAGGATGGAGACTGGGTTGCCGCCCATCAGCAGCTGTCAATCATCACAGTCACCATCGAATCAGCAGCCAAGAACATGGACGATGGAGCCATCAAAGGGCCGTGACCAATCACAGGGGAGAACAAGGTTTAAATTGTCCAATCAGATGTAACAACAGAAGTGGTGGAAAGAATTATGCAGAGTAATGCAGAGTAATGGTTATTCCATTTTCTTTGGGGAGGGTCAGACTGAATTTCTGTCTCCCTTTCTTGTATAATACAGGTTGTATATACATCTCTTGTGTTACCTTTTCTTCCATTTCATTGGTTTCTTTTCTCCTGCTTACCTGTGTCCCTTTTCTTCAAATTCCAAAGTTGTTCCTCTACATATTTTGGTTACTTCTTCGCTTTTGGATGGAATAGTCACAACTTATCAGTCAAGAAACAAAGGGTTTTTGCATTTCCAATAATGAAGAATTGTATCAATAAAAAGATGTGCCAACTCTCGTTTGATGTGCAGAAGGCTGCTGGCTTCTCTGATTGGCCAAAGTGCCAACCAATGGGATGTTAGGGGTAACAGTATGACCCTTTATTGACCAATCCCAGGAGACTATAGGCCAATGGTATGTGTCAAAATTATTTTGTACTAATCACTAAGTGATGTCATAGTGATGATGCAAACTTTTATCTGAATACAAACCAGTTTGATTACTAGTAATTACTTGTTTTCTTAACAAAGGTGAGATTATAGATTTAGAAAAAAAGATTATTGTTGCGCCAAATACTTTTGTAAAAATAAGGGTGTTCAGATTTCAATAAACAACTGTGATAGTAAAAGTTTGAGGTGTTTAACAAAGCTCTAAAAGAGTTTTCAAGGTGGCCTCTGCATCTTCTGCTCTGAAGAATATACTGACCCTAAATCCTTATGTTGTGAAGATTGACACACAGATAACAAGAGTTAATAATTGATTTACAGAACTTGATATAACAGTTAAAATTGATTACAGCACTTTTTGTAAGACAAAGTGTGAAACGTGGACTGGTTTGATAAGGACAAGCACACAACTTTGAGCTGTTTTATTATTTTAAGGAGCAACACTCTTTGCTCTAATGAGATTAATAACAAAAGCATTCTTTAGAATTTCTTTATTTGAAAGACGATGTCTGCATTGTGAAGAGGTTTATCATAAGTACCAGTATATTTGATGTTGGTGTATTGATACTCCCTTGTGGAGTGATAAGTTGTTTGAACAACATGTGATTTCTTTAACCATTGCCTACATGGCAAATGCAATTGTGTACAAAGAAGGTTGACATTGGAAAAACAAAATAGGAGCACAAAGCAAATGTGAGGCGCAGGTGTATAAAGAGTACATACAGGTGGGGTGTCTTGTCACACGGTTATCTTCTTCACCATTATATTTGTACTACCATTATATGTGTGTACTTAAGACAGTGCACTTTTACAACTATTTTGAAGGTGGCCATTTGTGTGAGTGCAAACAGAATGGCATGAGATTAAGACTGAAGAAAATGCAGCAGACTTCTCAGTTTTAGTGGTAAATGAAAGGGAACATGACAGGAGAAAGATGTTCATATCTGCAGACAGTCTGTTCTCAAATATTTTTCCTCTTCTGTTTAGCAGTATTGTGTTACCAGGCAGCTGTCAGTTGTGACTTTCACTATATGTTGTGTTATTCAGATGAATGTCCTAAAGGCATCCGATGCAATTTCAAGATGGGAAAACAAAAAAAATATTCTGGATGAGGAAATCTGTCTGATATTGACACTTACTGCCATTTCTTAGCACTTTTTAGTCATCATGTCATACTTGAAGCATTTTAGCCCAAAAATAAGCTGCTACGTGATGTGTCACTTTATTTGTTGGGTACCGCTCATCAACAGCTAAAACCAGCCTAAGATACAAAATTTAATTAAACAAGCAACTGTTTTCCGTCAGTGAAATCACATTTTCCCTCACGGATGTCAGTATGCTATGAGATAGTGTTGATCCTCTTAATTTACGACAAGTAAATTGACTTTGAAAATCCTGTTTTGCCACTCTGAAATTGCATAGGATGCCTTTAACAGTGTAACTATTGTTGTGTTAGAATGACAGTGATGTATATTTCAAAGGACCCTCCATGTTGGATTTCTTGTAGAGCACAAAAACTGATGAACCATTCAATGATGGCTATTATCCTGTAGTTGACAACTAGCCCTTAAGACTTGGAAAACATGGTAGAGAGTGCAGAGCAGAAACTATACAGGTTTATTGTCTTGTACAATGAGGTAGACCACGGATCTGTATTTGTATATTTTTGATATGTGTGCATCCATTTTGCCTGGTCATATGTTACTGTGCTGGTACCATTCGTAGATTGTGTGAGTCACACAGGTTTTACCACACATTTGACTGGTTTTGTGCCAAATAACAAGAAAAATGTTGTATGCAGTCGTTATTATCAAATGTCTATTTGAGAAAAGGCTTATATTTTAGCCACAGATGTAGAACAGATGTACCATGCAAAATTCTGCTCTACTCAAGGCTGAAAAAAACTATTTTTTTGTGAGACGAGTGCTGACATTTGTGTGGGCTCGATGCAATCTGTATTTTGGCTGGAAATGAATCAGCATAACACGAGGTTTCTAACATGGTGTAACAATTTATCAGTTGTCGTGAGGTTGTTGTTTTTATTGAGCTCCGAAATTTTGTGACAGTGACGATGTGTACAGTTGATTGGTGATAGTGAGAAAAATTAAAGGTTTGTTTTCACAATTCAATTTGTACTACTTTTTAGGGGTAAACTAGTTACATACAACCACTAAAACCTAAAAAGGCAACAAGGCTATGCTTAAAATGCTGCATATAGTTTGCTTAAACTGACTTAACTGTCATGTCAAAGCGTTTCTTAAAGGGGAGGTAGTTATATCTTAGATAATTTGTCAGACGAATGCTATTGAAGGTTTATGTTGCAGTTCCTTTTCTTTCCGCAAGGTAGCGTTCCTGAAGCGCAGATTGAGAAAGTGGCAGAAAAGGACACCATTAACCTAGAACGGCAAATGAGGTCTTGAACGGACGGATACGGCAGTGAACTATGAAAAGAAAATATAGGATAGAAAAGATAGAATATGTCAAATGGCCTAACACTTGTCGTCCTAGAATAAAGAGTGGAAAATGGCCCGACAAAGCTATCGGAAGCGTTTAGCATGGGAAGGCCACCAATTACACTGGAAGGCTGAGGTTTTCAGTACCAAGGACAGGACAGGTCAAATCATTATGGATAGGAAACCCACGTTGTTTAAAGTTAAAGTGCCCCACGCACAAGCTATTGGAAACGTTTAGTGTGGGAGGTAGCCGGTTGGAAGGCTAGGTTTAATAACAACACATTTCAGCACCAAGGACAGGTACGTGATTCTCACAGTTAGTAGTTGGTCGATGGAAAACGCCCCGGAAACGCTCCTTGCAATTTTCTGCTTAGGCCATGTTGATTTAATTATATGGATGACATCCGCGCGCATGAATTTTCGTCCGTTTCAAAAAGAAAAGAAGTTTTCGACCACACTGTAAATCGTACAATGTAGCTGCAAGATGGGCAAATATATGCTGTAAATTGAAAAAAAATGGAAAACGATACTTATGATGTAGAATGCCAAATTCAGTCTTCCAAAGGACAAGAAGAAAATGTGAAGGAATTAAACTTAGCGTCTATTATTCACCATGCCAATGAAATATTACTCTGTGTGTTTAGTCATTTGTTCAACCTTCATGACCACCTTTGTGAGGCTAAATAATCGGAATTACACTTAATACGGAAATACTTCCGCACTTCTAGCAGTCTTATTCTAACAATACGTACCCACGAGTAACCCCTAACGGGAGTCAAGAAGGCTTTAATCGGTTCTACAAAGATGACGGTAAAAATTGAACGCTTCTGAGGCTAAATGTGATCGGAAGTCACACTTAATACGGAAATACTTCCGCACTTCTAGCAGTCTTATTCTAACAATACGTACCCACGAGTAACCCCTAACAGGAGTCAAGAAGGCTTTAATCGGTTCTACAAAGATGACGGTAAAAATTGAACGCTTCTGAGGCTAAATGTGATCGGAAGTCACACTTAATACGGAAATACTTCCGCACTTCTAGCAGTCTTATTCTAACAATACGTACCCACGAGTAACCCCTAATAGAAGTCAAGAAGGCTTTAATCGGTTATATAAGGATGACGCCGAGTGTTCGGTTATAGGCTGCGGGTGTCCGGGCACATGACACGCGCGCGGAACGCGGCGGCTTTTCTATATCCAGTGTTTCCCGCGTGGTGGAAAATTTAGTATCCGCCCACGCCGAGGTGTTACCCCGGGAAGGCGGGCAACCACACCCCGCCGGCTGGCGGCCATGACGTCACGCCTTGCGTCATGCCAGGTATTTATAAATACCAGCATGGTGCCACAGGGATAAGGGACGAACCGTTTGTACATGCTTAAGGGGCTGTACTACGGACACGCGCACACAAATACTAGTACCACGTACATGCATGGCGTCGCACATCCCATTCTTGGTAAGAAGTGAAGTCATAGAAATGTTTCATTGGGATCTGAGTCTCTTTTGGGGTCAATATATCTTAGTCAGTGTTTTACACATGAATTTCGAAACAAACTGCAAACCCAATGTAATCCAGCTGCCACTTTTGGTGGTATCAAGGTTTTGTTAGTTAGTTGTTGGATATTTCTCGTCCTCTTTGTATTCTACACAAAGAATGGAAATATATTACATAAACGGGGTAAAATTGGTTCCACTATACCCATCAACTTGTTTCGAGATCATGCACACACCCCTTACAAGCATTAGCGAACTGTCCCTGTGGCGAGACCTTTAATTGTAAAGTGCGTCATTCTGACGTCAGCGCCTTCACAGGCACAAAGTGGTGCAGGGAGATAAGCCAGGTACATGTGTTCTAAAACCCATTACAAGTAATTTCATATATAAATCGCACTTGTTCCAGCAAAAATCAATATCCCTACCCATGAAAAAGCTAATACCTGTGATTTCGGTGATTGTTATCACAGACTCTCTACAGCACAGTGACTTCTGGGCCGCCCTTCAACATGATTGTTGATCTGGCTTCAATTTAATCATTTGTGAATAAAAGGGAAAAATGGACGCATTGACGCACGAGCGTAACTGTACCTTAAAGCGTGATTTCCGTTCGTTCTTTGTCGGGGCTGATTGAATTATTGCCGCTTCGGAACAGCGGGAGATCACCTGGACTCATCCACCGCACCAGACGGTAGGAGGAACGGGTGGCAGCAACTTTATATATATATATTTGCGGTCCTATGGTCCCGGATGCAACGGGGGATATTGTATTTTTACAGATTTGTGGTTGGTGGTTGGAGAGGGCCGGTAGGAGGGGTATGGGGTAAGGAATAGGGGGTAGGGGATAGATGATAGGGGATAGGAGGGAGGGAGGAAAGAATGGAGGAAGGATAAAGTATGGGCTGAATAATTAAGATCGTTGTAACACACAGCAGTACAATTAATTGAGTGAGTGAGTGAGTGAGTGAGTGAGGGAGGGAGGCAAAGGAAGGATGTAAGTATGGGCATAAATAATCAAGATCGCTGTAACACACAGCAGTACAATTGACGTAGTCTTCCACAGAAGATAAATAACATCATAAAGATCAATATTTTTGTACCAACCTTGTGCTACAGATAATTGTCCGACCTGCTCTCTAGTGTGGTGGTACTGAGTGTAATGGATAGTCGACCGACGTTTTTGACATCAGAATATCCTTCTGAATACCCTGGCTTTTGTAGTGTTCAAGCTTTAACAAAGAAAAACTTCCAAATACCGTTTCTGTAACGTAGGCGTCCAACTCCAAGGTGAGGCGTTGTTTTCTCGATATGAAGGGCGGCACTTGGTCAGAGATCACACAACTAGTGTGCCGGTCTTCACAGCGTTTGTACGACAGAAGAACATACTGCTAGCTCGCAGATGACGTCCTGTATGATTCTACTGTTCACGGCGCGAGGGTTTGGTCTTAACCTGGCAGAGTCGCCTGCAAACTTTCCATACCATTTACATAACAATGGGCAGCATTCCTTCTGATTTTCAGGATTGTGACCAAAGTTAAATATGTGTATTTAGAAATGATATTTCCATAAGGCATATGGTGGATTTCTTTGTTCTATTTGCCTGTCTTCCGGTTAGCAACATTTGAAGGAATTGAAGGAATTATGCAAGTGACATTTTCAAAGTACTTTATGAAGTATTGACCTTTCATGGAAAGCTACATTCGATGCGTATCGCCGAATTCACTCTTACGTCATGTCAGGGGGAGGGCATTAAGTGATAAACATCCGGGGATCTCAGCTGGCATCAAATTTCACGTCCTCCCACGTTGTGTCCCTGCGTAACCTTCACGATTCAAGGTCAAAGCTCTGAGAACGCATTACTTCAGGAATTCTGCTAGAAGTTCAGCGTCTTGCACGTAGGTGCTTACAGAGTTTCTGTAGTGTTTGTATTCTGAGGTCTGGCACACATGCCTGCATTGTGTACCTCCTATCCTGACTTGTTCCTGCACCTATGTTTGACACACAAAAAAGAACAACCGAACACGTTTTGACAGCAAAAGCATACTTTACTAATGCCATTGAGGTGCAAATACAAATGTTGTTAGACAATTATTGGAATGCAGCATTACGTTACAGGCATATGCAACAAGATCACAAGTAAATACCTTACAATATACTTCAAGAAATATTGGTGACGTCGCTTGCAGTACACAGATATTGGTCTTGCGCATGCGCCAACAATACAAGGTATAGCAAACGACATTTTGGCAGTTACCATGGCAACATCCAATCGAGTCCATGCACACAGATGACGTAGCACGAGGTTTGTATTGCTTGTTGGTGCAGCAAGATTTCTCCGACATCGACTTTTTTTATAGGACGACTACAAACGAGCAGCAACTTTCAACCTCACTATTACATGATTACAACATGTACATTTCAGACTGCGCTAATGCATTGCGACGTCAGCTGCGTTAACATGGGCACTTGCCAAAGTTTTGCACAGTTCTAATTTTTTTCTTTACGTAC